TGAGGATTGTCCTCATTGAGGTTGCAGGTGAGCCGCAGCCTATGCTAGCTTCTTTGGGTAAGCGGCCAGGGACACCCTAGAGTGGTCGCCAGCCAATAGCAGGTCCCACTCACACTCCCTCTTTTTCTCCGTATTTAAGTCTGGCCAAGATTTGTTACGGTATCCGTTCCGGGCTGCTGAGTCCCGGAAGCCTCAGAGGGGCGTTACGGTTTGGCAAAAGGTTTACCACAAATGCCAGTGTGTTTACACACATTATTATTATTATTATTCTATAGATATATATATTTTTTAATATAATATATATTATAATATATATTTTTAAACGAGATACTTTTTGAAGTTCACTGAGGCAATTTTGAATGGTAAAAAAAAAAAAAAAAAAACACCAGGTGCACAGAGCCCCCAAAGCTCAGTTGCATTTGCAAGTACAAAACAGTTTTGATCGACACAATGCTTTTTCTTGCCTCTTCCAATTCATATGAAAAGAGCATGTATCAAAGCTTGAATCTGAAAAATGAGCATGCTTTCCCACAGGTGAAGAGTTCCCACACGGGTCTATGACTGCCTGTCTTTCTGTACGCACTACATGGAAATTTCCTTGTCGTCTCTCACGCGGCTCAACACTCTTGCAACTAAAGGCCTGCTGATCAATGGAATCTAAATTCTAGTGAGGATTATAATAGAGGCATTAAGGTCTATTGATTAGAGCTGCCAGTGCTTGCTGCACTATGAATGGAAAGTCGATAGAAAGCTGACAAAGTCCGCAGACCCCCCCCCCTGGATGATACAGAGGGACTGCACTGTAAATGTCAAGAGCACAGTTCATTACTGGTGAATTGGAACATATTTGGCTTGACTTCATTTAGTTTTCTTTTTTGGTGGCTTGACAAAGGAATTAGGATAGATACTTAGGATAGAATTCTCTGCTCTTTGCTCTGCTAATAGAAATGAACATATCACTCGCATCCTCGAAACCCCCCGACGACTGCCAATTCATCAAGGCATCCAGTTCAAAGTCATTCTCCTCCTCTTCAAACGCCCTCCAGCGCGGGGCTATCGTATCTCATTGACATGCCGCACAAATGCAGCAGAAATTACGACGGTATGACTATTCATTGTGACCGATTTTGATGGAAAAGACAACCAGTGGGCTGAATCTCACTGATGTGTTCATGGAGGGCTGCTGCTTGCTTCTACAAACAATACTCATAAGTGTAAAAAGCAAGTGCCCTTAGTTTCAAGACAATATCATTTGATCTTGCCGATGCAGCAGTTTAACTGTTTACGTTGCACAGAGACAACGGAAAAACGGCTGCTCCCGATACCTCTGTATGGAGGAATCATGGAGGTGCTCTTATCAGAAGCTAACGCTGTTTTAATGCTAATTTTGGGCATAACAGTGAGGTGGAACTTCAGAACGGCTTGCTCGCAGACACATTTTCAAGCAATAGGCAGGTAACAAACCATTTGCACTTAAAAAAAACAAAAAACATGTAATTCCGAATTGTATGGGCATTGAAGTTTTTGCTCCCACTGTATTTGGTGATCTTTTCCAGTCCAATTGATGGAAACTTTTGCAGGAATGTGTTGTGCAACATTCAGCCACTCACTCACACTGCTATAAACGAACCCACTGTCAGTGTATTATACTTCACTGTTTCAAAAAAAACTATAACAAATTAGCAATAGCCATTCCAGCCAATCTGCATACACAATCTATAATTATCTCTTGAGCAAGATAACGCGCATCTTTTTCGTGTAATGTAGTCTGCCCAATAAGCGATAACAGACAGTCATGCAACAATCAGCAACCGGCAGTCATTAAGCAGACAATGAGGAGAGCAAAAATTGAGCCAACCATCTTTATCGCTGGGCAGCACATTTCTCATCCACATCCTTCTGCTGCCACTCATGCAAACTATATTTAACTCCTCAAAATTGCCCCTCAGCGTTCCCCCCCCCCAACAGAAAATCAAACCACCGGCGATTATTTGCTTTCATTTTTGTGTTTGTGATGATGACAATAATAATACTCTGGATCTAATGTAGGTGTAAGCATCCTAAGGGCAAACAATGAATGTTGCCTGACGGAGCCTGGCTCATGAAAGAGACACACACACACACACACACACACACACACACAAACACACAAACTCTCATGAGAAAAAAAAAATTAAACCTCACATGTTTACATAGTTTGCTGTAGGAAGAGCCACATTCTCCCCCTCCCATGAAAGGCAAGCACAAATTGCCCCGTGGACCAGGAAACGCTGACCATACTATAGCTACACATTTTTTTGCGTGGTGATCCTCGGTATATTAATATTAAAGGTCTGTTCGACTTGACTTGCTTCATCCATCATTTTTTTTTCTTTTTTTTAAATCACATGTCTACACATGGGTCCGAACTGACCTGGAGCCCATCCAAGCCCTTGTCCAAGTTAGAACGTAATACAGCATGTCACTTTTCCATATCGCCCCCCCAAAAAATTCTCAAAGGAATATCCTGCAATCAAACGCTAAGGTTCACAGATTCCGTTGATTCCCGCAGAGGTTTACTGTAAAAGATGCCGACAAAATAAGTGGGCTGGAGGGAGATCTATATTAAAAAGGGGAAGAAGAAAGAGGAATTGAGCTTCGGGCATCAGTAGGTGTGTTACATCACAGGACTGTAAAAAAGATTGGGTCAGGAGGGAGTTTATATCCCTCGGGACTGAATTTAAAAGCTGTCTTATAGTTCATAAAAACATCCCACGACATAACTCAGATTTTTATTTCATTGCCATCCTCTGATGTTGTCCTCACGTCCAACCCAAAGCGCAGGCTTGCATCCCCACCTCCTCCAGTCGTCGGAAGAGCCGACGCTGTCGCCAAGTGCCGAGCGGGTGGAACCAAGTGCTGATGACCTCACGTGATTAGGCTGCGCATCGGTGGCGTTTACTGGTAAGTAGCCGGCCTATCGGGCTTTACATCACGCACATGCATTATGAATGTAGCAACATTGTGCTTTTCAGCATCATGGCATTCTTATTGGCGGTGGATGCGGCCCGAGGTGTGGCATTAAAATTTCGCAATGTTGAATTCTTTATTCATGCGATTGCAGCCGAGCGGTTTTGCTCTCATTCGCTCTGGATTGTCTGCGTTCAGCACTTTGCCCTCTCTCTCTCTCTCTCTCTTTCCATCTTCATCCTCTCCCTCCATCCACACTTCCTCCCGAGGACTCATTCCTCTCACTTTATTTCCCGTGAGCCTCCGCTAATTGTGTGATTGCAATCGCTCCACGCTGTTACCGTGGTGACAGGTCAGGTGCAGTTTTGCTCTGGATGCAAGTTTTACAACATACTGGGTGTCATATACCGAGGAGGTAATCGTCCCCATGTGTTGTACTGTTTGAAAGTGTCAACTGTATTACACTATATTGTGTACAATCAAATACAGTCGTACGCTTCTTTTGGTTCCTTCAGAACTTTGTTTTCGGGCTTTGGCTTCACGAGTACAGTTGCGATTGTTAGTCTTTCATATTCTTCCTCTCTTGGAATATTTGCCAAGGTCTCCGCTGAGAGCCAGTCTTAGTGTCTGTGCGTCTTGCGTCACGTGTTGACCTTTCTGCCGTGTATGTCATCTGCCATTTTTCCTTCCTGTTCTACTTCTCGAGGCGCTCCTGGAGGATCGCAAAGTTATTAGAGAAGAGCGGTGTTTAATTCCTCCAACCTGTGTGTTTCTTTGGGTGCCGTTGTGTCGTACCTCTGACAATGATTTGTGCTCCCTGTCCAATTTCTCTTCCGTTTTAATTTGATGCGGCCTACAAGAAGATGGTGGTCGGAAGAAAAACATCTGCTCCTCTTCTGACCAACACATCTTTTTTTTTCCCCCCCTCCTGATGCACAAATGGTATTTTTTCACCTGCACTTTTGTAATTATTATTATTTTTTTGTGCGTTTGCGTGTGTGTGTGTGAAAGCTTGTATGTTTGTGGCCTTTTGGTCAAAAAAGAGATTTTTTTTTTTCCTTTAGGTTTTATGAGTGTCTGCGTTTGTGTAGTTTATTGCACCTCTGTGAGCAATAGAAGATGCCCTTGTTTGTGTCAAACCAGGAAGTCAGAGCAACCTGTTTTGTAAGTCGCGGGAGGGGAAAAAAAAAAGGTGTTGATCACGATGCCGCATCTCCGTTTAAAGAAGTTCATTGCGGCAGCGTTTTGCATTTCAACGCAATTCGTGCGACTGCGACCTTCTGCTCCATTATTCCCAAATCAGTTCGAGTGAATTAAGGCGAATGAAAGAAAGAGAACCCAGAAAAACCCAATGTCATTTCACATCATCAGAGGCTAATTACCATTGAGAATGGCTTTTCAGACATTTCCCATCAGAAGGCAAATGGAGGCAATGTCACAAACAACTTGACAAAAGCTGGTCGTCGGTGGTGACCCTGCCGTAAATGTCACCAAATTCCAGCCAACTAAATTAAAAAGCCAGGAAAAAGCTTTGGCTGACCTCAACTCGAGTACTATCTGTCCCCTCTCTTCCTTTTCAGTCTACAACTTTCAATATTTTCCTCAATCACATCCACGCACCATCTCTGCTCTGCTATTCTTTTCATTTCCTTCCTTGTCATTTATCTTGCCTCTACTTTGCTGCATGACGAGGCTTTATGTCACACTTTGTTTGCCTTTTCTTTTACTACCTTCCCCTTTCATTTCCTCTCAATGGCCCCTTTCGAGTTTGATGTTTATCACATGGAATATTTACGGGAGCCAGTCCTTTAGTAAAAACTAAGGCGAAGCAGTCTAACTTCTGTTGGATGAAAGGAGCAAAGTATAGACACGCCCCCCCAACCACCAACTCTTTAACATTGAAAACAAAAACAGTTGACAGGCATGGTGAGATATGGTAAAGATGTAGACTGGTCTGGAGCATAATCTTGTTGCATTAACATTCTTTTAATGATTGTCAAAGAACCCACCCACCCCCAAGAAACAAGAAAATAGATAAAGTCGTGTTTATGTAGGAAAAAAAAAGTTACCACGTACAGCCCAGGTACAATTTGGATCTTGACAACTGGCGGCATTCCAAACAAAAAGAAAAAACACGGCATAGCTCCACACAATGTGCTCGACATGTAAGTGTCAGAAGTGACTCGATGGTAAGATTATGAACTATTCTGTGCTTCCCTTGTATTGTTCAAAGCGCTCACATTGTTCTTCCTGCTTACATTAAATATGTACAAACTACACCGATGACGAACATGTACTCTTTGCACTCTGTTGGTATCCTGCGTGGGTAAATCACTTCTGCTGCTGCCGAAGGCCACGCGGTTCTATGTAACCGTTCTTTTGTCTGAAATCCATTAAAACACTTCAGTCTTAGTTCCATTCATGCAACCTTGACAAAACAATCAAGGTTAGTATTTTTATTACTTACATTTACAAATGACAAACAAACATTTCAATTCTGTCAGAATCGGAGGCCACAGACACACCGGCCTTTGTCCACTCGGCTTGCGAGCCGATCGTCTGTCTGGAGCCTCCGAGCAATGTTGTGAAGCATGACGAGCTGTGGATGACCGGGTGCGAGGTTTTCCTTATTTTTACGAGAAGAGCAAACCCTCTTATTCCTCTCTGCTTTTTCTAAACGCCTCTGAAGCCAAAGCTGACCCTTCTTCTCTTCCTCCCCGACTGCTTCAGCCAGCAGGTTGCTTTGGAGGATGGAGTCCGTCGATGGTCTCGGGTCGTCCTGGTCAAAGGTCAAAGTTCACACTTTTTTTTTTTTTTTTAACGTCGGTACAGTAATCAACAAATACATGACTCACCGTCAAGTTGAGCATGTTGTTGAGCAGCATTCGTAGTTCCTCAGAGTACTGTCCCGGGACTCTTCTCAAAGTCCCTGCTGGCATCTTATCGGCAAGCACTTTTGGGTCCGGGGTAGGAAAATAACGGCTGTCAAGGAGAAATCAAGACAACGTGAGAGACCTTTTACTCGACAAACTATCCAGTGGGTAGGCAGAGTTTGAAAAATGTACCATAGAGTACACAGCTCGTACAGTAAACAGCCCAGTGACCAGATGTCACTTTCCTGAAAAACAAAAAAACACGTGAATATCGAAGCACTTTAGGAGTTGCAGCATCCGCACAGCCCCTGACCAAAAAATGGTCACTCTACTCACCGCGGACGTGTAAGAGGGCTTTCCAAGTTTGACATTCTGCTCGCTGTCCAGGAAGATGTTGTTTGCTTTCAAATTGTGATGAAGGAAGCCGGGCCTGCCGTTACTCTTCCTGTGAAACTTTTTCAGGGCTGATGTGAGCTGGGCAATGACTCGCAGGATGAATCGTTCATCCAAATGACGCCTAGCATGAAAAAAAAAAACAAAAAAACCACACGACAATGAGATACTATATTGCACAATATCTATAGAATGCAATATCCGACTGACTTATTTTAAAAATATGCAGTGAAAAAAAAACTTCTGGGGTCCCTTAACAATTACAACGATGTGGATTAGAAGCAGAATATTTGATTGTTTTACAATACTTTGTATTTGTTTAACTTGAGAGGAGAACATGCAAACATGTTTTTGATGAGGTCTTCTTTCCTCATGTGCCTTCGTTTGTCTTCCTTGTTTGGTTTTGTGTCCACCTCTTCTGGCCATGCGGGTCCCTTGCGTCAACCAACCAGCTCTGGCAACCCTTGCGTCTCGCCCAGGTGTTCCTTGCGATCTCGTCAGTCTCTGTTGGATCGTTGTCGTCCTGTCACGTCGTTGGTGCTTCTGCCATTGCTTTTTTTTTGTTCGTTTGTGACTTTGGTTTCTTGGTGTTTTCAGCATTTTGTTGATGTCGGACTTAATTTTTCCAATGTTTTGGGAATACATTTTCTTCAATCCACCCTGCTTTCCCCTGCCTGCCTACCTGCTTTGTGAGTCCTCTACCAGCACGCAACATGACAAGTTCAACTGGTAGGTGATCCACTTTTAACATTGAAAATGCATAAATCTAAACCTTGTCAACACACTGAGATGCGTCTTAACGGGCATATGAGAAGCAGGAGATGGATATACTTTACACAGAATAAGTTTGTGTCCGCCATTCATGTCCTTTCCTTCCAGCCCATATCTACTAAACATTGTTTACTGTTTCACTTGTGATGTCATGAGACTGTGTACCCCATGAACTGACCAATGTATTGATTGTACAGCTGTGTCCTCTGCTTGTAATGGAGTTTTGTTCCTAAAATATGACATTTATAAGCTACACATATGTTCAAGAATCAAATGATATTGTACTCTTACTCGGAATGATCATTAACTGAGGACGCCCATTGTATCAAGCTTCCAGCAAGTAAAAAAAAAAAAAAAAAAAAAAAAAATCACCTTTCCCTTGAGGCAGAGGCAATGAGGCTCGCCAGGGTGTCACCGGTGCAGTCCTCCATCACAATGTAGAGCTTAGTGTTGGCGCTGTCGACGATGCAGCCGTAACATCTCACAACGTTTGGGTGCTTAAGCTTCTTGAGGAAGTTCAGCTTCAAGATCAGCGTCTGCGTCTCACTCTCGGTCAAAGTGTCGTAATGCATCTCTTTCCAGACCAGAACCTTTGCGCAATAAGTTGGGTTCATTCACATGTCAGTGGAGAGCAGCATTTATCGAGACAATAAATGGAAGAACGATTCTATATGGTTACTTTGGTTGTATTTGTCGCATAAAAGCCACTTGTGTAGTATCCAATAGTTTGGCTTTTATTTCTCTATGTATTCATCATCAAAACATTTGGACTTTTGTACTTGGCGCATTTCAGAGTCTGTATTATTCTTTCTTCCTTTCCGTTTTTTTTTGTTAGCTTATTAATTAAAAGAGTTGAATAGCAGGCCTTTAAAAAAAAAAAAAATGAACCCATAGTTCTACTGAACTCCAAACTGTGAGTATCCTCATCGCCCCTGGCATTACCTCCATATTATTAAGGCCGTTTGAAAATATTTGTATTCTTGACAACTGTTTACTGTTGTTCAAAGCAGAGTTGTCTGTGAAACAACAAACTCTCAGTTGCAGTCATGAAATGAAACGCGGCACATTTACTCACTTTTCCATCAGATTTCCGTCGTATCTTCTGGCATCTTCCATGGAAACCCATTGCAATTGTGTAAAGCACATCGTATCCGGCGAGTATGGACGCCATGTTGATGTCATTTGCTAAGGTGAGCAACCTCAGCAAGTCGACATTTTCCATACAATGCAGCCTCTTTCTTGACCCTTTTGCATGGAAACTTTGTTGGCCGTTTCAATTCATCAAGAATTTAATTTGGGATACATTTTCTGTGCCAGTATGTCTGTTTTTCCCTGCCAGTGTTATTTTTTTTCATTGATGACAACTGATAGACAGCAAGGCTTTAAATGGCGTGGCGAACTCTCGATTGTGATTGGTCGGATGTTTCCACCACACTCCTCTTGAATGATCGGACTCCTGACGGGATTTAGAGGGTGGGTCATCATGCAAAAAAGAAAGAGACAATGATCAAATGTACCGAGATGATCACATCATGCCGACGACGATATGAATTTGCCAACGTTTTGTGCGGGCGCTTCAGCAGATTCAGCATATGGCGTTGTTTCCGAAAGCCGCTGAAAAGCACGACACGCTGCTTTAAATGCTTTAAATTATTTTGACTTCATTGACTACTCAGTAGGTTTTGGTGGTCATCAACACAACAATCGTATGATTGGATTTAAACCCCGGTGAAGTCATTTGAATAAATGGCCGATTCACATGCACGCCCATCAGACCTGTTAAAGTTGTGCCCTTTGTTCGAAAGTTATTCAATTCAGATTTGCCACTATTTCGCAACCATTTCTCACCCGCTGAGTCGTTTTCAACTGGATTCAAAGTAACAGACACAATTTTTCAAACGTTAGAGCTTGTTTGTCATCATGTTGGACTTGTCCTAAATCTTAATCTATGATGCGTGTGTTGATGCTTCTTTCTGATGCAACCCGCCGTTTTTTCGATCGGGCTGAGAAACGAGACGCGAAGACTGAGAATCAAATCCACACCACTTGCATGAAAGGCAGCCACACATACCACTACGCCATCAGTATGGCCTCTGAGTATATCAGTAAAATGAAAAAAAAAATCAATTTACTCTATAAAAAGTGCTATTCAGTCAAAATGCTTCGTATTTATTCTTTTTCATCCCCATTTAGTCCCTGAGATTACAGAATATATCCTTTGCGAAGTAAAAGTGCACAAAATCTGCCCCCCAAATAATCCATACAACCCTGGCAAGACAAATGGCTCTTTTGTAACATTTAATTACTGGAATTTGCTGAGTAGAAAAAGTTTAGTAATAGCAGCCCTTCAGAGAAATACATAAGCATTTATCCCGAAAGGGAAGAAGGCCTGTGGTTGTTTGCTCTGTAATTAAGGACACCATATCTCCTGCAGCAACGCAGCGCTCGCTCTCTCTCTTGCTCTCGCTTGCTCTCCACTGTTGGCAGCACTGCTTGCTCTAATCTGTGGCCTTAATGAACATTAGCACATACATGAGTACACACACACACACACACACACGGACACACGCACACTGTATTTTCTCTGTGAAATCCCTTTAGCTGGAAAGCATGACGTCTTAGTAGCGCAGGCCTTCACCACGCACTGCGGTGGCTATATATAGAAGTCATCATAGTTGGCTTTCAGCCCCCCCCGCCCCCCTCATCTATTTCCCCCTTCTTCTTCTTTTTCTTCTCCTTCTTCTGTATTAACCGCATCAGTGGTTTTCTCTTCCTAAAGTGCTTTCAATGCCGGACAGCCCCGCTCTGCCCTTGAAAAGGTTACGCGCATGTTTCATTGTTCCCCGTTTTGTCTCTCGCCTCCCGAGGGAGAGAAAGCGAACGAGATTCGGTCCCTCCTGATTGAGAGTGATTTAAAAAGCAGCGGGTTGTCACGCCCCGCCGGTGGTGATGACACGACGGAGCGGCAGCATCTTGAAGACAGGCCCCGAGAGGACGAAAGCAGTCGGAAATGGGACACCAAAATGACCTCACTGATGGCGAGATGGTCCTGAAATCTCCCCTCGTCCTGCCGTCTGCCCCCGCCACATCGGTGACCTCATTATTTCCATGAGAAACGGGGCCTTTCCCCGTTTGACCCGAAATCTCGATATGTCAGCCCCCCCGGATCCCATTAAAATGATGCTGTGCTTGAAGACCACAAAGAGACAGACCGTGCGCCACTTGATTGGCCGTTGTTAAAACGCCAACTGTTGTAGTGCGCTGACTCTCGGCTGCTTGGAGTGATGTTGTTCGAGTTAATGTTGCATTATGAGGTCTCTCTCCTGCCATCTGGACAAGGCGGGCGTTAGGATGGTTGAAGCCGCACCGCTGCTTATGCGCGTAGAAGATCGCGCACTTGGTAGGAGGGGGCTTATATTTTCCTCTTGTGTTGCTTCCTTCGCATTTCAAATTTGGAATCTTTGACGAAGACATTCGCGGTGGCGGGGGGCCAGTCCGTCAGTCAATATTCCACCATGGGGGCACAAGCATCTCGGTGGGTGGGCGCGGCCTCCAAAGAGGCAGCCAGAATATTTTTCGACTATCACGGACATCCTTAAATTCCTCTCTGGAGATGCTTTGGGAGACCTCCGCCAAGAGAACATATTCAGAAAGGAGCAGGTTGCTATCCGAAGCATTCCACGTGTGTCAAACATGGAGGAGGTGGTTTAAAAAAAAAAAATGCTGTACAGTTGACCTTGATAATATTTTTTCCTATTAAAGCCAACGGAAGTTAATGTGACTTTCTGTCAAGATGACGCACTGTACTGCGCTTTGCATTCCGCAAGTGTTAGCTGTTCCATCTGTTAACATTTAAAACGGTACCTCGCCGCAGGCACCGAGATGCGCGGAAATGTCAGCGTGCCGTCATGACAAGCCATTTATTTATCGTGCATATATTTGACTAAATTGGACGGAAACATGTTTCTTACATGTCACTGAAGATATTGAACGGAAAAGTGAAAAAGGAAGCATTTGCATAGTAGGACACACACCGGCTAACCTCGGGCGCATACAAAGAACTGCCATGGCGATGTGACATTAGACCACAAATAAAAAAAGTCAGCCGCTCAAAGGCTGCATGCTTGGGGTTTTGGTGAACACACACGCACACACACGTACACGCATGTGTACACCCATGGGCCATTTGTTGTTTGAACAGCATGTCCACATCAAATCCTACCTTGCCTCCTCCTAGCAGCCGCTCCGCTAGCATATATCACAGGGCTGACTGACAAAGCAGAGGCACGAGTTGCTCCCTCAGCTGTGGAGGTCTGGTCTGATGACTCATGTTTATGTGCCACCGGTGCCTCAACTTACACCCCCCCCTCGGAGCGCCTGTTGGCTGAAAAAATAAAAGATGAAGAGCACAAATATGGGATGGAAAATCGAGTGTATCAAGTAGGTCAAGGAGATAAATTTGAGACGACCTACATGAACTGTCACTGGCTGAGGGATTGACTTCCGCTCTTGTGTGTCGTATGAACACCTGATGCCTGTTTGCATTTCAAGGTGCCCCCTCCGACATCCTTACAAAGAAAAATCATTTCTGCATGATTCGAACTTCAGTTCGTCACAGCAAAGATGACAAATTTATTTCCAAAAAGCTTATTGTTACTTTTTTTTGCGCTGATTCTGAATTTGCCCTCATTTTTTCTCTTGCATATCATGTTGTCATCATGTAAAATTGTGACATTTATGCATGATGGGTTACATTCAGCAACAGGTGGATTTTTTTTTTTTTTTCAGAAATGTCACAACGTAGCTTTAAATCGGAACGCATTGTAAAATGCGTCCTGCGCAAGCTTTTATGGGTCAAATATATCAAAAACCTGATGTGCTCGAAAAAAATGACGGTTGAGTTGTGTAATTATAGCTTGCTGTTGAAAATATTGTCAGTTTGGACCTGTGCCGTGCATCCCAGGGTGAAAAACGTTTCTATTCAGTCTATGTTTGGGTATACGGTGAAAGCTTTACAATCAAACCACCCCAGACGTGGCAGATTTTGAAGATCACCCCAAATCTGTTATCGTGAAATCAATCAAGACAGCAGCAAATCTCGTCAGGAAGCTTATCCAGCATCGAAAGGATTAACTCCTCCAGCGGGTTTTGCTTTTGTTTTTTTTTTTTTTTTTCTTTTTGTGATACTTCACAGGGAGGTGTTGAGTGTGATGGAAACCAAAGAAGCAGAAATGGAACTTATTGCAACACTAAAAGGGGCTGCCTGCTCGGCGCAATATGGACATCAAGCGCAGCGTCAAGGAATATGTCTTATTTTTGTAGGTCTGTGTGAACGGGGATTATTTTAACGCCCAAATAGGATGCGCCACATGGAAGTAACGCGGTCACAGCACATTGTTTTTGCCGGTGGCCACTGTTTACACCTTGGCAGAAGATGCTGTTTTTACGATGTAAGAGAAGCTGTTATCTCTTTTTCCTATTGATGGCTGACAGTCCCAGTTGGATCTGTTTTGCTATTCATAGATTTGAGCCTTCTTGCCCCGGTGCCCCTTCGGCGCCTGATTTACATGCACAAACCACGGCCCTGCTCAGGTCTGGTTAATGTGCGTACGTGTGCGCGCATGCCAATACGCCGTGTACTTGACCCCGCAGCCCGGTGTGCAAATAGTGCGCAGCCCGCGTATGTTTTCTGCACAAATCTTCCGCACAGGTGTCTCTGCTGACACGAACCTCTAGCCTCCAGCTCAACTGTAGTCACTTTCTATCGCAATAGAATGTCGAGAACATCAGACAAAGCCAAAAACTTATCTCATGTGAAGCTAAAGCAAGATAAAATCGACGCATCTGAGCCAACTATTGCCTATCATGCACATCACCTTACACTTAAGGGACTGGCAATAAAGAACGCTTACATTTTTCAAACATGTCTTGAATTAGCTTCACTAGTTGAGAGCGTTTTGTTTTTTTTTTTTTGGGTGGGGGTGGGGGTGGGGGGTATCAAATTTGGGAAATAGCACAACCAGCCTGGAGGATTGCTCGTCGTAGCGCAGGAATGATGTAATGATCTGCATCCTCTACCTGGAAAATTTCCCACTGGTGCATGATGGAAGATGTCAGAAAGTTTCCAAGATGTCATGCATGGAAAGCTCGTGGGACCCCCGACTGCTTAATGAGACCACATGTATGCCACGCTGGCTTTTATTTGTGAACATCTCGATGTATTCATTCAGTTGTTTGCATGAAGGAATTGAGTTTTGGCCTCCCTGATTGGAATTTGCATGTTATCCCTGTGCTTGCGTGGGTTGTCTTCAGGTATCGGTATTATTGTTGCAC